CACGGCTACATTTTGCAAGGGAAAAATCTGACAAAATTCTCAGACATCTCCAACTACACTACGAACATGTCAGAATTTTTTCAGATTTTTCGCAAGGCGTTAAGTAAGGAGAAACCTCAAAAAACTGATTTTTCGAATTTTCCGATTACTACCCCCCTGGTTGAGATATAAAATTGGAGTGAATGTTTCTTTTTTGATAAGCTATCGAATGGCGCAAACGGCGCTTTTTATTTTTCACGGCTACATTTTGCAAGGGAAAAATCTGACAAAATTCTCAGACATCTCCAACTACACTACGAACATGTCAGAATTTTTTCAGATTTTTCGCAAGGCGTTAAGTAAGGAGAAACCTCAAAAAACTGATTTTTCGAATTTTCCGATTACTACCCCCCTGGTTGAGATATAAAATTGGAGTGAATGTTTCTTTTTTGATAAGCTATCGAATGGCGCAAACGGCGCTTCATTCGGCTCAAGGGCACATTTGACCCCCTTATCCAGCCAGGCCCTTTCTGTGCGGTACGCAGTGTGTTAAGATTCTTTTAAGTAATTCTGAGTTCGAATATCTTAAACGTAAGAGCGAAGCGCACTTTCGCGGGTCGCGTTCAAGTAGAGGTTCAATTGATTAAGACGCTTGATTTAACAAGTGAGTTTTATACATTTGTAATATAAACATTTGTAATATAAGACTTGGTTTGGTGGGAAGGGTGTCGCCGGCTTGGTGACGGATTTGCACGAAAGGCACAATTGTCATCTGATGATCCCCTATAAGTGCCATTGATGATGTGTTTATTTTGGTCGGTATACAAGCGAAGTCCAACTCGTCCTATAGAATGTCAGCGTTGTGTGTGTAATGGACGATAGTACCTATACGTAGAATATCAAATAGGACCAGATAGCTTAACGGTTATAACTTAAATCGTAGAACTCATGTAGTGTAGACAAAAATGGGGGACCTGCAGTCTTACAATGTTTACTGTGCGGCTGTATTTGTCTTTATATTACAGCAGATCTATTTACTGTCATCTACCCAATTACTGTAATTCTAAACTATTTTACTTAAAATAACATATAAGCATTATGAAGTTAGACAAAAAATTTCGTTCGCAACTAAAACTAATTCATACGGTAGGAAAAGTAGCATTTCATTTCATT